CATGACCCCAAATGACTCCCAGTTTGGGGTAGTTTGGGGTTGCCTGATGGTTTAGAGAAACCTCTAGAAGAGGGAGGTGAGTTGGTGTCATGTGTGTCCATGAAGTGCTGAGTGAAATCTAGCCTTCCAGACCCTCAAATCCTGCCCTGGTTGCTCAGAAAGCATTTCCACCATCCTCTGCCTCCTGAAGCTTTCCAGTTAGGGGCAGCTTTCTTCAGAGGCTCAGGGCAGGGGCCCCCAATGCCATGCTGTAGACAATGCGTGTCTGAGTAAAGGCTTCTCCTGAGCCAAAACGAGGACAATAACGCCCCACAGAAAGACTGTGTTCTTAACCAATCTGAACTGTGTATCTTCCCACCCATTTTTTGGATATTAAAATATCTTTCCAAGATGACCAGTGCAAGTTGCATGCATGAAGCAGGGCGCTCAAAGCCGGTGCTGTGGGACTACCAAGAGGGGTGGCATGGGGAGGGAGCTGGGAGGGGGTTCAGGGTGCGGGACATGTGCACCTGTGGCTGCCTCATGTCGATGTATGGCAAAAAACATAATATTGTTAAGTAATTGTCCTCCAATTAAAATAAACAGGTTAATTTTTTTTTTAAAACCTTCCTTTCTCTTGGCCATAATGCCATCATACAGAGAGAAAGCATGAGTGCGTGACTTCACCAGACCTAGCTCTTCCTCACCTCTGCGCTTCCTCCTCTCTGGACCCATTATTTAATGCCGGCAGTTACCCCCTAAACCTCACTCTGCCCTGCACTGACACAGTGATGCACCTCTTAGAACTTCTTGTCCAGCTGTTACATGTATATTATTCTTGGCCCCCAAATGTCCCTTATATGTGTTGTGAGCTCAACAACCACATACAGCCCTTTTAACTCCTGGAACCTCACACTGCACTGAATACCAAGTCCCTGTTTCAAATGCTTTTTGACTTTTTTTTGTTTTAATATGTCAAATCACAGAGTGCCTGACACCAGTGTCAGCAATTTTCATTGTCTTTTTTCTGCCCTAAATGATGTCTCAGCAGCGAGCTGGCATCCGCAGGGAGAGCGTGGTGTGAGGAGATTGCTAATATGCGGTGATAGTTTGCAATGAGAAAGTGAATAACATAAAAACGAGAACAGGCGTTTATATTTGGAACTGAATGGCTGTGGATAGGAAGTTTCAAAAAAAAGATTGAGCCCTCATATCTTTATTTTTATACGTACGCCCGCCAAGATGACCCTGAACAAGAAATCGAAATTTTATTTTGATTTTCTTCAAGGATTATTGCCTTTTGCAATGGAAAATGACAACTCATCAAATGCATCATGTCTACTGTAGGCTGCAAAGATGACCAGACAGCAGAAGCTGTCATTGTGTTCATGCTGCTTCAAGTAATATTATTACTTGTCCATTTTGCTAAACCGAATGTATTTTCTCTCTCTTTTTTTTTTTTCTTATCGAAGTCAGGGATGAGGACATTTTGGCTTGATATTCCACTGAGCATAGTAACCAGAGAGCTACTTCATTGAAGATGATATGAATTTATATAACTCTTGGTGAGCTGGGCAATGATTTAGGGTTAATTTTTTTTTTTTTTAAGTCTAATGATACTCTTAAAGAGTGCCAAAGCCAGATCCGGATCTTTGTAACAGAAGCAGATTTTATGAAAAATAAACTACTTTGGGACCTTGCATGGAAAAATTAACCCCAAGCAAATAGATAGGTCATCTGTCTTTCTGGACATGATGTGTTGTGTTAGTCACTCAGTCATGTGCAATTCTTTGTGACCCCATGGCCTATAGCCCCACAGGCTCCTCTGTCTGTGGAATTCTCCAGGCAAGAATACTGGAGTGGGTGGTCATTTCCTTCTCCGGGGGATCTATGACATGGGTTGGTCATCGGAGCTGAGAGTTTCCTGTGGAACACCCAGGCTGGCCACCTCCATGAAGGGGGTACCAGGGGCTTTGTGCTGACCTTATTCCTGTTTTCCTCTGTGGAAATGTCCTGAGAGTTGTAGCAAGGTGTGGCTGTCTAGATAATACAGTAGTGCTCCTACCAAGATGGGTCTCCTGATACGTTTAGCAAAAGGGAAAGGAGCTGATGATCCCATCCTCAAAGGGTTTCCCTAGAGTGCCAGGCACACTTGGGCATCCCTGAAAGAGTTCTGTGCCCTTGAGGCAGGACCGACTCTGTGTGATTCTTAGTGTGCATGTTTAGTCGTGCCCGAGTCTTTGTAATCTCTTGGACTGTAGCCCACCAGGCTCCTCTGTCCACGGAATTTTTCAGGTAAGAATATCGGAGCAGGTTGCCATTTCCTGTTCCAGAGGATCTTCCTGACATAGGGATCGAACCCATGTCTCTTGTGTCTCCTGTGTTGGCAGGCAGATCCTTTACCAACTGTGCCACCTGGGAAGCCCTTGCTCCAAAAATTATTAAGGGTTTCAAGACAGCCACAGCAGAGAATGAAACAAAACCCAGAACCCTTTTAAACACTTGAGTCTATTATTCGTCCACAAAGTTGGTCCTGCCTTGAGAAGTAAGTGCTTTGGTGTTTTGAATTTCAAAGCACAGTAGTATCCTTAGGAAAATTTAGAGGAAATTAAGGGATGCAAACAACTCCCCCCCAAACAAACAAAGCAAAAAACCTAGCTCCTGGGGGTTGCCTGTATCCCACCACCATCTGCACCTTTGGCAATTTAGTACGAGAAGACTCACTGTCTGATTAATTCAGATCCATTTACCATCTAGAAGGTGCCTGGAATCATGCAATGAAAGCAGGGGTGGGCTTTGGGAGTGGGGAAAGCTGAGATCAGGCATTCATTCAATGAACACCTATCCATAAAGAATATTACAAAAGATAAAGAAGGATACTACATAATGGTCAAGGGATCAATCCAAAAGGAAGACGTAACAATTGTAAATATTTATGCACCCAACATAGGAACACCTGAAGCCCCTGGTGGCTCAGATGGTAAAGAGTCTGCCTGCAATGTGGGAGACATGGGTTTGATCCCTGGGTCAGGAAGATCCCCTGAAGAGGGAAAGGGCAAACCACTCCAGTATTCTTGCCTGGAAAATCCCATGGATGGAGGAGCCTGGGAGGCTACCATTGATGGGGTTGCAAAGAATTGGACACGAGTAAGCAACTTGCACATTCATTCAGCATAAGCCCCCCCCCCACCCCAGTTTCTCTGACTTCCTTTCTCTGACCTTCTACATGTACAATCCCCAGCCTCCACACAGCAGCCCAAATGATCTTATAAAAAATGGATCTGATCCTGACCCCTCCCCCTTCTCCCGGCACTCTGGTAGCTTAGAGTCAGAGTGAGAATTCTCCCCTTGACCCCAGGGCTTTGTGGGTCCTGGGGTCTGCTGGTCTCCAGTGCTTACCACTTCTTTCTTTCTGCCTTGGAGACTTTGCACACGTTGCCTTCGTCTTTTCATCCCCCCCGACCCCCCACCCCCGGCGTATCCCCTCCCCCATCTTCCGTCGCCCTTACCGTTACCTTGCTTTTCCAATTCTCCACTTTCATACACCCCCTCCCTAGTCTGGATCCACACCATCAGTGCTTCTGTGTCTGTCCCCTGTAAGCACCGTGAGGGCAGGATCATGTCTGTTTTGTCTGTTGTTCTGTTCCTAGCACCAAACGTGTACTAGCATATACCTGGAATATACTAGGCACTTGATAGGTGTTCGTTGAAAGGCTGAATGGACGTACCAAACAGTTCATGGTGTAAGCTTAATTATACGCTATCTTGTGTTGTTATCCTTCACTAATTTCACCAACTAGTTTGAAAATCTTTGACATTAGGCAACATGATATCTGTCTGTCTGTCTCAGTTGCTCACAGTGCTCAGTATATGTTCAAGAAGTGTTATTGACCAACATAAATTATGAATGTTTTACACATTCATTACAGCATAGATAACCAAGAGAGAAATTCAATTATATATTATGTGTGTCTGGGTTATTATAGGTACTTTCTGCTGATTGTCGAGGTTAACTGATAACCAAAACCAGACATAGTCTAAATTATGGAATTTCTGCCTCAAAAGAAAAGAAATCAAGTGTGATAGAAATATCTCTCTCACATTTGTATTTTATTGATTTTTGCAAACAGTCTAGATAGAGGAGTTTAGAGGACTGGTTGTGTTCAATTTACTCTGGTGTGAGGGCATCTTCCGTGTGAGGTTATAAAAACATGCACAGTCCCATCTGCTGTGATTATAACCACCGCTAGAATTTGTCTGGCAAAAGGAACTGATGTACCATCATTCTTTTTATTTATTTATTGGCTGCGCTGGGTCTTCGTTGCTGCGAGCAGGCTTTCTCTAGTTGCGGCAAGTGGCGGCTACTCTTCACCGCAGCACGGGCTTCTCATTGCAACGGCTTCTCTTGTTGCAGAGCACGCAACCCAGTAGTTGTGGCACACAGACGTAATTGCTCCACGGCATGTGGATCTTCCTCAGTGAGGAATCGAACCCGAGTCCCCTGCACTGGTAGGCAGATTCGTAACCACTGGACCACCAGGGAAGTCCCTGCTATCATCCTCTCCTGTAGTGTAAGAAGAAAGTGTTAGTCGCTCAGTCGTGTCACAGCTCTTTGCAACCTGCCAGGCTCCTCCATCCATGGGATTTTCCAGGCAAGAGTACTGCAGTGGGCTGCCATTTCCTTCTCTAGGGAATCGAACCTGGGTCTCCTGCATTGCAGGCAGACTCTTTACTACCTGAGCCACCAGGGAAGCCTGTAATGTAGCTTGTCCTCAGCTCCTTGCTTGAAACGGCATTTGCAATGTTGAGGTCCAGTGATAAGGACAGCTTTTTTCCCAATAACTTGCACAACTGAAATTCTGACCCACTGGATCTTTATTTCTATATCCAGTCCTTCTAATGGACTGTTTTTCGTTGCCATGTTGTTTTTCCAGCTCAGCAAATCTTGATGGTATAGAAAATATCTTCAGCATAAGTAGTAACAGTCTGTTTTCCCACTTTCTTTCAAATGCCTTTTGCAGACAAGAAGCCCCAAACTCTCTCACAGTCCTCAGCCTCCCAACTTGGGCGACCCAGTGGAGCATCTGTCAGAGGCGTCCGCTGATTCTTTGGAAGCCATGTCTGAGGGAGAAACTCCCAGTCCTTTCTCCAGAGGCAGCCGGACTCGGGCGAGCCTTCCGGTGGTGAGGTCCACCAACCAGACGAAAGAAAGATCTCTGGGTAAGCTTCAAAAGGCGGCTTCTGATTTTTATTACTGCATGTGTGTGCGTGTATACTTCTGAACACAGACCCCTATATCGGAATGTTAATTTGATCTTGACTTATAAAACCTCAAGTACTCAGAAACTCCGACAACTTAACATGAAGCCTTGAGGATTTACTTGCTGAAGAAGCATCTAGTCCAGGCGGTCTCTGGGGCTGGGCACGTGCAGAACGGGCTGGGGTTGGCCACTCAAACAAGAGGCTGTCTGTGCTTGTCTGTGTCCTGGTAGGGAATAGCAAGGGCCACTTTGCCAAATGAGCCTCATTTCTCAGGAACCTCCTCCCCAGTTTCAGAATTGTGGACAGATGGGTTATGAGCCCCACTCCACTGTCTGACAGTCCAGGGGAGGACGTGATTGGCTCCAGGAGGAAGAGGTGCAGTGTGGCCAGCACCCCCATGACTGGTCATGAAAGCCAGAAACACCGGGCTGTTGGCCCTGCCACCACATGAACGGGTGGAGGGTCTTAGCAAGAGTCTAGCGTAGCCTTTTCTTTCAACAGGCTTTGAAGAGACACAGGATTTTGTCCTGCTTTTACCTGTGCTTATGCTCCGCCGCTTCAGTTGCGTGGAACTCTTTGAGACCCTATGGGCTGTCGTAGCCCCCCAGGCTCCTCTGTCCCTGGGGCTGTCCAGGCAGGAATATTGGTGTGGGTTGCCGTGCCCTCCTCCAGGGGATCTTCCTGACACAGGGATCGAAACCCACATCGCTTATATCTCCTGCATTGGCAGGTGGGTTCTTTACCACCTGGGAAGCCCCTGCCCTCACTTAGCATCTGCTTTTTCATATTGGATATTCACTTTCTATCTCGCTTTGCTTCTTTTTTCTTCCTGGCCCTTTAACAAAAGGCACAGATCCTGAAGATTTAGACATCATGTTGGTATTTCATAAGATTAACCTGCCTTCTCAAGGTTCTGATTCGGTACCTGTGTTGGCAGACATTTGGGGTCAGGAGAAAGAGGGGACAGGAACGGATCAACCCACAGAAGGCTTCAGGGTAGGCCTCTGCAGAAGACAGCTGAATTCTGCCTCTTAAAACTGAGCAGACGCCTTGCTTGAAGAACAGAGAAGGATGTGGGGAGGCATCCTGATTTTGTTTCCTCGGTCACAGATGGTAACCAGAGCAAATTGGGTTCAGACATTGTCCTAGGTCTTTTTTTTTTTTAAAGCTGCTCTGAGTCTCTGGTGTCATGCAGGGGGCTGTTCTCTAGTTGCAGTGTGTGGGCTTCTCGCTGGGGTGGCTTCTCATGTTGTGGGGCATAAGCTTTAGAGTGCAGGGGTGCATGGACTCAGCAGTCGTGGTGCACAGGTTTAGCTGCCCTGAGACATGTAGGATCTTAGTTCCCGGACCAGGGATCGAACCGATGTCCCCTGCATTGCAAGGTGAATTTTTAACCACTGGAGCACCAGGAAAGCCCTGTCGCAGGTCTTTTAAAGAGAAAAGCAAAACAAATTAAAAAGTACCCCATTTTTTCTTGCATTATTGGTATTCATTTTTAACCTTCAGTTTTGTATACTTCACGTTTGGTTAATAATCCAGGGTCCTCATTTTACTAGTGAAAGATGAAAGCCATGGAAAATCTCCTTTTTGTTTTCTGAGGAATATAATTAATTAAATGGCAGAAGTGGGAAGACCCTCTAGTTCCTATTAACGCCATTTACCAATGAAGGCGTGGGGTTTGCAAGGGTGCAGTGCCCCCAGGGAGCACACGGAGCCCTGGCAGTGGCAGTAGGAGCCAGGCTGGGACTTTCCATCTAGAGTACAGGGCTTAGTGTTCTCTTAACCCCACTCCTGCTTGAGGCAGGAGCCCAGGAACCAGCCAAGGAGTGGAATTTCTCCTTTGTGCTTTGCAGGAAATGAATGGGGTTCACTTCTCTGTAAAGATAGGCTGTGCTTTGCAAAACAGAACGAAAGAGAAGAACAAATACTTCTGCGCCTTCCCCCTTACCTGCACGCCTGTGGGATAATGGAGCCTTTGTCTTACAGGCAGGAATTTCCCCTACAGCCAAGTGCACTTGGCAATGCAGGTATCCATAGATACTGGCTGCCTTGGAAAGCCAACCTCTGGGCTTCGGGGCTGAAGGAGTTAGGACAGGCAACCTTGCCTTAAGAATTGTTGAGCGTGGCTGGTATTTTCTCATGGGCCTGCTGAACTTATGCAAAACACTGTTTTACTCTAAGCACACCTTGCTGTGAAGTTCTGGCAAGTCCCAGCAGATTCCCAAATGCAAAGGAGGTGCTTATGCTTCCTGCTCCAGGAGGAGCTTTGGGGCCAGTGATTTCCCCAACTCCTGAATGGAAAGAGAAACGCAAGGAGAGGAGAGGAGTGTGAAGTTTGCCCCTTCGAGAGGAGCCCTGGGGCCAGAAAATGAGGCTGGCCCGGGCCAGTGCGCCTGGCGCTGCCCTTGGCCGCCTCTCTGTGGCCGACTTGGGAATGTCCCCTGGCCGCACCTGGCCTTCCGGACATAATCTGATTGAGCCAGGATGGGAAATAAACAGGAAAGTGAGTCAAGGAGAATCTATATACAATCTCTCTGCCAGGGGCCTTGCTGGCCTCCTGTTCCAAAAAGTCCCTGTGTGCCTGACTGTATTTAATACCCAGATATGGGAACAAAAGGCTCCCCAGAGAGCAGAACTGGGAGCAGCGGGGTCCCCCAGCATTTCAGTGGTGAAGGCCATTTAGGACCCCAGACCACAGAGGCTGCAGACGAAACTGAGCTGTGATCTGCAAACCCACTCTGGGAGCCACCTGCAAGCCCCGGGTTTCCTTTGGGGTCAGTGCAATGTCATTTTGTCTTAATCCACGGAACTTTAGCACCTTCCCACCCAAGTCCTGTTCACCTTGTGTTTAAATTTGTCATGGCTGGTTCTTCATGGATTATTGCGTTAATTTTGGTTTATCTTGATTACTGAGTTTTGGAGGGGGGCCCGTAAATTGTGCGCCTGAGGTGAGTGCCTCCCTCGCCTCACCCCAATATCTGCCTATGTGTCACCCCAGGGATATCGCGTATCATCCAGGCGACCTCCAGCCACAGGGCCCGGAAGAGGCGGGGGCGGGAGAGCCCGGCTCCCAGGCTTCGCTTCTGCACATGCGCAGTGTGTCACTGGCGCCCTTCCCCAGTCCTGGGCAGGGTCTGGACCAGTTCTCCCACCGCTCCCGCTCCCTGGAGGGGATGCGACCTTGCTTTCACTTCAGGCAGCCTGTGCCTGGAGATAAACCTGCTGGCTTAATCATTTTTTCACTTGAATAATCCTACCTTTCTACTGCTTTGGCGTATTTAGGATATGGGAGAAGTGCGGGCTTGGTGCATTGCGCAGAGGCTTTTAGAAGATGTGCCAGAGAAAGATGGGACAGCTCTGAGGCGCTGATTAGGACAGAGAAGGGAGGCATTGCTGGTGCCCGGGTAATAGTCTCCAGCGCTGCCCTGCATGCAAGGTGGGAGCTTCTCATTCCAGGATTTCAGGTGGGGCCAAGTGACAGCAAAACGCAGAAATCTTGTCTGATGCTGGGAGCCAACTAGTCACTCTCAGAGATTTACAAAGCTGAAAACTAAAGAAAGAAATTCGTTCAGCCACTCTGATTTATAACATGACCAAGTTCCAAAGATCTGTCACCTCTAAATCTTTACTTCTACGGAGTAGTGGGTTCCCCTGCACACTCCACACATGCAGAGACCAAATGAAATTCTTCTCAGTGGAATTTATGCCATTTCTGCTTCCCTTTCTCTTTGGTGAAAAGAGAGATGGTTCGGGGAAAGGAAATCTCCAAAAGAAAGTAAAAACCATTTTGCCATAGAGTGAAGCTTTAGAAATCATTTCCGTGTAAAATTGTCCCGCGGTTATTAGGTCTGGGTCTTAATGATGGAGTCGTTTCCTTTTAGTCATTGCTGTCTTATAAATGTCTGTCTGGAACGCAACCACGGGCAGGGGCTGGGGTCTGGCTGCTCCACAGTCGGCCGTGAGGGAAAGAAGAGACACAGGTTGTTCCCACCCTTCCGTGTTCCCTCAGGAATTTGAAAATAAAACTCATATAAAAACACAGAGCAGCAACTTCCTCCTCGCTGCAGCCAGATGCCTTGGGTGACCGTATCCTGAACGGTTAGCTTTGGAAAAGATACCTTCCTTACCAGCCCAGCAGCCAGAGGTGCTTCCATTTCTGTAGCAGATTCCTCTTAAACACTCAGCCTCAATAAACAAGAATGATTTTTAAAGGCTCCGGAGGATTTGAGACTCTTCAAGGGAGAACTTGCTCAATGCATGTGACTTGTTGAGTATCTTTGGGGCTGTTCTCTTATTTTGAGGTGGTGACAGTGATGGGTACCATATAGGAACAGAAAGTTCACCGCTACCAGAACCTCCCCACCTGTGCAGAAGAGTGAGTAGGAGGTTAGAGAAAAAGATGGAGGAAACGTCCATGTGTAAAGTGGAAAACCAAGAAGGTTTATGGGCAAAGACTGTGAGCCTCGTATTAAGATTGTTTGAGCATGAAGAGTTGGCCTCTGGACAGTTAAAAAAAAAAAGAATTTCAGACACATGGAAAGAACAATATTGCTGTACAGAGTAAAGAAAGCACTTAAGGGATTTAGGTGCCAGTAGTGGTTGACATGCAATATTATAAAAACTAAAATTTACAGAAGAGAGTTTGGTTGTAGGTCAGTAGCTTGGGAGCACGTTCCTGACCTTTATAGGATGCCATCAAAGAAAAGGTGAAAGGGTCATTTCTAGCTTGGGAACTCAGTGAGTGGGGTAGGAGGATACAGCGACTGGCCACTGTGGTCCACTCCAGTCTCCTTCTAGCATTCCTTCTTTTACTTTGGAAGCTGGAAAGCAGAATCATTCTGGAATAGCAGATATGCTGGGTTCCAGAAGTAGGGACCAAGACATTTGTGGATGCTTTGGGTTTTCTTCAGCATCATTTGCTGAGCGGTCTCAGGGCATAGCCACTCACTTGATAGAGT